AGAGAAAGAGCGATGAAAGAGGCGCAAGTCCTCGAACTGGGCTGGAGGCCTTGATTGTATACCGGAGACGGTGCTTTTGAAGGAGACGGGAGAGCCCTCTCAGACTATGACTGAAGTCGAGTGAGTCTCGTGTGACCTCGGGACAAGGCCGCGTTACCCGTGAACAATCCGCAGCCGTAGGAATGCGCGAGCGTATATATGAACGCGATACAACGACGGCCGTGCATTTACAAATGTTTCCCTCGGTCCGACCCTCGCTTCTTCCTTCTCTCGCCGACCTAACGAGAGAGCCGTAAATGTTCCGAGAACCGAGAGGATCCGTGATGCAGGATCGCCGAGCGACATGCGGGCGTGGCGAGGAACGTTCTTGATTAATGTTATTGGTGATCATTGTTGAGCGGGATAGATGCTGGTCCAGAGGGAGCATGGAATTAAGGAAAGTGGTTAGGACACTCCGGACGTTCCCCGCTGCAAGTTTGTCACTGTCGCGCCGACGGATCGGCCACCGACAGCGTCTACGTAATTGTTTTTGATCCCCGAGAACGCTGCGCGACACGCACGAGGACGAGTTTCGGGTCCTACGAAGAAAAAAAGACAGTGAAAAACGAATGTTATAACAATAACCGCCAACGTCTCCTATCGGGATAAATTACGAGCGTGTTCATTGCACACATACGATATCTGGGACGAAACTTCCGCGTAACGTTAAATTCTCGGGTTTCTCGATTTATAGAACGTACCGTGCGTACCGGAAAATACTGCGAGATAAATAAATTACACAAGTGTAACATCGATACGCGCGTCCGTGGGAAACTTACACAGGCGCGGCCGCAATCATTTCACGGATGAAATAACGAGTAATTGGTTTACGAACTCGGCCATTGAACAAAGTTTCTAGAAACTCCCGCGTTTTCGATCAGCGTTACATAGAGTTTCATAACACGCGCAATGGCTAATGAACGCAAATAAAAGCGCAGCCGCGACGACGCTTTTGTAGTAGGACCCGGGCGAAACGCATCCGCCGCCGCATCAGCCGCTCGCGTGGCCTTGTAATATCGCGAAACTTGTCTTCCCCGGAGTTTAGAGCCGAATGGGGCTTTAGACAAGGGGGGGTGGACGTATTTCGGTGATCGAAATTGCGCTGCGATTCAGGTTCACAATGGCCGCGATTCCTTGCAAACAGAATCAGAGTCGCCGCTATTAATTTGTCCGCCGGACTCCCGCCGCTCCGCTCCGCCCTGCGCTGACGCTATTTCGCGGACTCTTCATCTACGTAGTTCGAGTTAACTTCGTCTTCCACTCTATTCAAACAGCGTCCACGCTCAGTCGGTCTGCCTCGCCTACTCATTAGCGTCCCTCCGTCCGTTACTACTAATGCACGAGAGTCGGCCAACAAATTTACACGACGCGTTGCTGGGAGTTACTCATTAGAGCGCCAATGCGCACAATGTAATATTGCAATTCCGCAAACTTCAATGCTAATTGCAAGTCTCTCCGCGCAGTCGTGTTCATACATAAAAACAGTGTAATTAAAAAATCGGTTAATGTTTTCTCAGCGCATCGAAGGATCACGTTATCACGATATCAGTTATTGTCTGCGAAATATTAACCGCATACTGACAAGGTGGATACGTTATTTTAAAACGAAATGGCTGAACTTTATGTTTTTATAGAGTGAAAAAGCAGATGTGTAAATTTCGAAATGTTTCCCGACGTTTAGCGATGCGTAGCTTAAATGACGAAGTTTAAAAGGCACGGTTGAATGGAAGTATTTTAACATGCATCTTTCATAGTGCATCATGTTAGGACAGCGTCCTGTCCGGGGATGACACACGGTGTTGCCAGCCTCACGTTGAAGGGGGATTGTTTTGCATTTTTCGCGGCGCGCGGTAAAAAGCCAGCGCTCGTCGCGGTCGCGCGGAGCGCGTTGCACGGCCGGAGCCGTTTCGGTCCATCTACGTAACATTATTCGCCCGGATACGGAGCCCCGCTCTGTTTTTCCGTGCGTGCGCTAGTACATTTGATACCTACAATCTTTTTGTCTGTAACTTTGCATTAATCCGGGAAACGTAATAAAGCGAGTACGGATAAACAGAGAGAGGACCGGCGATGGCGCGGTGGACTCGCCAAAAACTACCGATGGTGGTGCAGGATGTCCGGGCGAAAGTAGGCAGCCGGGATATGCAAACGCGACCGTAAGCCCCGCCGGATTAAGCACGGACGTATTTTCAATTCGCGATAACAATAAGTTCAACCTCGTCCGCTCGTTCGTTACTCACCCACTCTCTCTCTCCTCTCTCTCCTCCCTCTCTGTTTTTTCCTCACTCTCTTCCTCTCTGTTCTCCACCCTTTTTCTTTAACCCCTTTTTGCACCCCAATCTCGTTAGTATCGTTTTTATTCCGTCGTTCCGTGCCTCTTACCTGAAACGTGTCGAATCCTTTTGCGACTGCCAGCAATCCCAAAGAACAATCGTCCTTGACGCCCATCGGGCGTTCTTTATTGGCGTTATTTACAGCTTGTCTGTCTAAGCAACTTCCAGAACTTTGTAGGTATGTGGGGATATTATACGTTTATTATTATCGTAAAAATAATAATTGTCAGAACCGGAATTATCAGTGTTCTTTAATATCGAATAAGCATTCGATATTGCATTCCGATAGATACTTTACGTTGTATTATCGGTTTCTTATAATAGTCCATTTTCTCTTTTTTCAATGGGTTCCAATTAAAATTTTATTTTATGAGATAAAACGAGATAAAGTCTCGTTTCTATTTGGCCGAAGATACAGCTTCATTATGGAAATGATACAGAATTTTCTGATCGAAAGTATAATACTATTAAAACAACTATTAAAAAAGCTCCATTTTAAACTAGACGTTATATGCTTGAATGACATTTTTTTCTAATTTATCAATTGTACGATATTAAAAGATTACTAGTTTAACATGAAAAAAATCCTAGAATTTAAATATCAGCTGGAACAGTCGTCACATTTAATCATAATAAATTATTTCTCATAAATAGATACGTAGTGTCTCATAAAACGTGAACGTCAGTAAGTGTAAAAATTATTAACCACTAAATTTGCGGTAAGCGAAAAATTGTCTAATGAATCTATAGGAAGGCGGAAACATTATTTGTTATAAATCTGATCCATGCGCGAAACGCATCATCCATCAGACACCCATTAGACCATCGGTGTAACCACGACACGTTCGCATGCTCGATGGGCACTCAGTGGTCATCTAATGGACACCGCCGACGCACTTTTTCGCACGGCGCTATTCGTCATGACCATCCGTCGCGTGTATACAATACAACCGGCGAAAAAGCTGACGAACGTTTATACAACGTGAGAAGAATGTTGCTCCCTGGTCACGTCTCTTTCCTAGTCCACTCACGTAACGACGAGAAAGCAAAAAGCGTGCACGTTACTTTATTCGTAATAACGAAATAATAAACATGAGAAAAAAAGGGGACGAGATAAAAAGACTCGACTCACATAATAAGCACCGTGCCAGAAGGGCGGATGAAGGGAGTTACTAATTTCTGATTAGCTTGCAAAAATTAAAGCCGAAAAATTCTCTCCCGTATTAAAAGAAAGATTTGCTAGATATGAAATCGCGATCGGGAGTAAGATACAGCGTCGAAGAGGCCTTGAATATCCGAGAATCTAATGGTATTTAAACAAGGTTGAAGATCGGAAAATTGAATAGCGTTCAAGAACGGAATTACGATGCCGCATTCACCGCATGAGCACGGAATTGCGTGATGCGAATATGCAACACGATTGTATAGACGCTCGAGTGCCGGCAGCTTATGCTGGTAATCGTGCTTTTAGCACCAATGCCGATTGAACACGATGAAGCGGCGAGCGTGATTGTAGCCGGTAGATTAAGGTAGCGAAGGTGAAGGTAATGGTGGACGCGGAAGCGCGGGGAAGAGAGGAGAATTTTTCATTGGAGTCAAAAGTTCGGCGTACTGAAAGTTTAATTCCAGACTCTCTGGGCGTGGTGCGGCTTGAATGAAAAATCTCTCCTCTGCCTTTACCGCCCGCCCCGCTCTCTCCTCCGTCCCTGTCTGCCTCCGTCGTGGCCGTCGCGCTTTCGCGCTTTTTCCGTATCCCGGCACAGCGAAGAAAGACGTTCCTTTGCCGAACCGTTGCCGATTAAATTCGATGGAAGGGCTTGGTGCGAGTGATTTAGCCGAGACTTATTTCGCGGTTGAATCGAGCGACTAATACATCGACACTTTCATCCAGGTTTCCCCCTCGTCGAGTTGTCAATACCGCCACTTATCGTGACGTCTTTGCGAAGGCAATTTAATGTCTCGTAAATATTGCTAGTGTGCGCTTCGCTTATGAGATTTTTAAGTAACTTGATTTCTCGTCCAAAATGGATTTCCGTTAAAACGCGGATTTCCTAGTGTTGAAAACACCGTAATTTTTATTCATTACAATTAATTATTTATATACATTGGTTTGATAAGATTTTTTACATGTATTTCCTTCGAGTCTAGTTAGAAGGGGAGTTATTAGCATTATCTTAATAGGAATTACTAGTATATAATCGTGGAGACAGACATCGGAGCGTTGGCAATTACGATTTTGTAATACCCTGCGATTAGGCTAAAGATTGATGTTTAACTCCATTTTGTTCGCACTATTCAATACTTGTCTCAATTAATCAACGTGAAACGCCACACGTACGTCCACCAGCCTTAATCTATGAGAGGTGCGGTCCGTGCGAACGCGCGCGCCACTGCCCTCCCCCGAAGCTATCAGAGTGTAGGTTTTGCGGCAATACGTTCGGGGTGGTAACTGCAGCGGTACCACTCGTTTAAAACGCATTAGGGAGGTAGGGGGCGGACGGTACAAGTCCGTGGCCACTCTAAGCACCGCAATTCCGCAGCTGCCGCAATTCTTGTTCGTGCTTTTTGATCAAGCGCCATCAACGCCCTCGTACGCTTTTGTGATCGCGCGACCTTTTCCTGTTTCAGTGAGGCCACTGAAGGTGACGATACTCAGCAGCGAGCACGCGCCCCTCAGCGCCAATCGGAAGTACGACATTAATTGCATGACAGTGGGTTCAAGGCCGCCAGCCAAGCTGTCCTGGTATATGGACGGCAGGAAGCTCACCAATTCCACGGAAAGGGTAAGTCTCTATAGCTGATACGCTCTATAGCTATATCGATACGTGCGATGTAGGTATAGTTAGAATCTCAGTCTTCGGGGAAAAGAAATTCTCACTTATTATTAGATCCTTTATTTTACGACTGCACTTTATTACAAATAAAGTGCAGTCTAGACACTTGTAACCTTTCAGTGTATTTTATATAAGAAATATTTCCTACAGATGTAATACATCTGTTTCTTTTCCGAGAAAAGATAATTTCTTATTCCAAAGCACTTAAAAAATTTGCTCAGCAAAAATGTTAACTCATATTTCTTGATATTACAATGACCACTCCATTTCGGCATTCACGGTTTCACGTAACCGTTACGAGTGCCAAAAAACCCTCGATAATCGATACTCGTTTCGGATTCGATTGATAAAATGGTGGTTTCGCGCGAGTAAAGTTGTGTTGCGACAAGTGTCGTCGGCGCAAATAGTATAACAGAAAGGGAAACAAACGACTCGAGCCGTGAAATAATTTCCTATCCTGCCTTCGCCGAAGCGGAACAAAAAAACAAAATAATTCATCGTGGTTTGCACGGCTATTTCCTCTTCGCCATTTAATTCGCGCTACGCTAATGGTATCCGTCGATAGCGAGGCGATCGATCTCCATTATCTCCTCTTCGCCGATCTTCTATATTTGCAATATCGCGTATTTCGAAAGTATGAAATTCTTATTCAGCGGAACTCTTACTTCGTCTCAGGGACGAAGTCACGCCAACCCTGTCGCGGAATGATTCAACGTCGGCGAAAACACGTCGCGTCCCACATAGCATCCGCTCCCCACGTATGAACGAAAAGATGACGCTATTAAAAAAGCAGCATTCCGTTGAGAATTAACGGTCTGCCGGGTCGAAGGAGAGACTCAAAAACCCGCGCGTCTCCGCGTCCGAGGGGTGCGCGAGCTTCTTCTTCGATCTGTGTTCTCCGCGAAATCACTGGCATTAACGCCGGTATCGGTATTTGCATCGTTGCCATTAAGCATCCCCTCTGACACGCCATGGCGCAATTACCGGATAGCGGCGATGCTTTCGTGATCTCGCGCTCTCGCTCCTATTCACCTCGGGGCTCGATGCCTCGTCCCTGTCTCGCGCGCGCGTGCCCCTTTCCTCCCTTCCGCCGCGATCCTCTCGCTCATTCCGGACGACGCGGAAACTTCTCCGTTATACGTACTCGAACTCCGGCGTACGAACATCGATCTACGCCCTTCTTCCGCGGCGAACTCTTCCTGAAACGTGATTCTTTGATTCGCCGCGCTTCTCTCCCTCTCACCTCCGTTAAACTGCATTTCGAATTTCGATACACACCCCGCTCGTCTCGGGCGGTATGTAAGTTTTAAAGTGTTCCGTTCAGACTGTAAACGTACGTAATTGAATCCGTCATTCCACAAAGTGAATCGACTCGTTTTACGAGCGAACAGAAAAACTTAATTGCTCTTTTTCATAGTATAATATGGCGTCAAAATGCCATATTATAGTCCAGATTACACCTTTTGGCTTTATCAAACTTAGTTGCAATGTATTTCATAACGTTACTTATATTGTAAAAATTAGTTTATAAATGTAATACACTTTTATATATTTTAATATATGCAATCGAGCAATTTGCGATAGAATTGTGCGGTGGAATCTCCGTTTTTTTTTTTGCCCCAATTAATCGCGCAAGTCGAGCAATGATAAATGCGATTTCGAAATGGCGTTAAGTAAGCCTCTTTGACCTAAGAGCAGGACGAAGTTATCTAATACATAGACAGTATAGTACATATGTAGCTGAAGTGATGGCTACCATCCATCATCCCACTACTTGTCAATAGTTCTATGACAGATCTGAATGTTGAGAGAGATATATAGTAGCGGGAATAGAAACACAAGCGCGCACGAATGTATTTTACTAGTTTATTATTATTGCTCTTCCTTCTATTTTTTTTCTTCTTTCATGATTGAGTGTTTAGCTCATTACTACAAAAGATAGTAATCCCAGATTTTATTAATCGCTGACATTATTTCTGTAAATTTCAAACCGATAGTCGTTTCATTAAATTTAGAAAGATCTCTTCCGGTTTGATATTTAATCAACCTTCGTTAGACTTCTGAGAAATTCCAAATTATTCATAAAATGGAAAATAAAGCTTATTTGGATATACTTTATAGGTTAATCATTTCGTATTGAACACAATTCTAACTTATTGTTAAAAATGTACGATTAAGTCAAAAGCATCACTTTTTATCTGGGTCGTTTCGCGCAACGATGATGAAATTGCCATTGTACTTGAACTCTCGTAAAGCATCGATTTATCATTATATCTGTTGAACGCTTTTACCAGAAAATCCTTCTAGAACGCAATTCGTCGGATGAAATCGAAACGAGCCCTGGAAAGTTAACTGTATCTACTTCAATTGTTCTCCTCTGTCATTGTCTTATCCATGATGCTTTAGAAAAATTCACAGAGATTTCTACGAACGCGATTTCACGCGCATTATTTGAACATCTTTACATTGACGAACAGCAGTTTTGTCTTCTTATTGAATTTACGTAATAATTCGCGCAATTTTAAAGATATAAAAGCCATGAAAAAAGTGGAAATTGTCCGATCGCAGAAATTCGCAATAAATTATGACGGAAGAAAACGCTAAAGAGATACACGATCTCCGTGCACGGGAATTTCATGTAACGTCATTCTCTCGCCGGCCGGCTATTTCGTGCATAATCGAGATGCAGTAAAACTTTCCGAATGAAAAATGAGCGCAGGTACGCGAGAGCTCCGGTTACGCCGCCGCTCATACGCGTGGATTTTGCAATAACGATTCGCCGATTCGATCGGTGTCGCGCGACCGGCCATGATCGACGATGATCCGCTAGTGGCGGAGATCCAAAGGGCTGATATTTTCCGCCGCAAATAACGATCACGTTGTTGGTCGGTGCTAGGCAGGCGGCATCCAGTTCTGACACGTTCGCGCTATCTCGCGTTATACGTCATAATATCGCGGTGTCGAATGAAGTTCGGTACTGGTAGACATATCGAGGCGAAC